GCATTGTGGGTCAGAGGGAATTTACTTGCTTAAGGTCACGGGTGAGAGGGCGAGACGATCGAAAACGATGGAGCAATCGCATCGTATGTAAGAGAAGTTGGCCGAATAGAAATATGCCCTTGAAACACCGTTTAAAATGAATCATAGTAGTGCTACTTGTAAGTAGCATCATGAATGAAGTCAAATAAAAGGGTTTCTGTAAAAACACTGAAGGCACAATATATTTTGATAACTTTGAATATGTGTCCCGGTTTTCTTAATGTGATCTACACCCAGATTGAATTATAAACAGTTGAGTGGTAGAAAATCGAGAACAGTATTTAATGGGCAGTTTCAACATGCCAGGATTCCAGTGGTCATCGGAGAGACGGACACCGTGTGATGTTGCGTTGGTTTGAAATCAACCGCTGCAGCCAGCTTGGGTTGGAGCCACCTCTAGGTCGATGGATATGCACTGTCGGAGATTACTAACGGGTGTCGGGAAACTTTTAGTTGAAGCGCAGCCCTTCGAAGGATTTGCATTGCTATATGCGATACTCGGAAATTGAATGATGGAACACCAAATTACGAGCATTAAAGAAGCATGCTGAAAAGGGCCAAACATCAGGTGCCTCAAAATTGGACTATATAAAATAACAAATTTTTCGAAGCTTTACATCAACACTGTAATAACATATTGAATGGATACGAGATGGTTGACCTTGAAGTTGTGACGCTGAATTCAGCTGATAACGCAAGTTGGAATTGTTTGTTCGTGGCTTACCTTCTTATTCATTCGTTTTTGTTATTTAGTTAGCTATAGTACGACACCAGCGCATCACAGTATGTTTAATTCCCATAAACTACTTAAAAATTGACGAGATGCAGGAATGCACATCTGATACCTGAAATGCTTTGTCGAGTTTCGGTATTTGTGCCGTTTACCATTACAGTAATAGGCAATCATGCGTTTTACCCCGTTATTGCCAATAGTTGAACTAAGAATTGAGGGCCTGAGGACATGAGAGCTTTTGCTACAGGATTCAGTCATTTAACTAGCGCCTGGCGTCCTGAAAGAGGGATCATTATGTTCAGTGTTAAACAACATTGACATGTTTAGGAGCTAGACTAAACAATGCCCACGAAATACGTATATCGAGCAATGATCGAACGAAAGAACCAAAAGAGAACAACGTATGGCACGAAACCTCAACAATGGTTCTAATATGATAATCTGGAGATCTGAAACAGACAAATGCTCATATGAGTAGGTGTGCAGAAAGTGAAAGCCAATGCGCAGCGATCATCTCGGTGACCTTGGTCCAGTAATACAAAATGATTCAGGTCAGGAAAGAGTAAATGTCCAGAAATGGTTGATTGTACCGTTACAAATGACTGGGTTTTATAAATCGAACTGCTCGTGCATCTATTCAACTATCCATCTTCCCTCAGCTTACCGCTGCCAGCATTCTAATGTTCCCTTTACTCCGTCATCTAAATAAGTCGTGAAAAGACAGCAACCAAAACCACAGCGAGAAAGTGCATGGTTAGTAGTTGTATACACACTGCACTGCAAAGTTCTGATATCGTTCGCGAATAACGGTAACGGCTTCATGTGTCAGACTATCCGGCAGGTTTCCGTCTGACTCCCTGCATAACCTTATCCTGATCTGAAATGTTAATTCTCTTTTTTTACTACATCTTGACCACAACAATATTGGGTTCTCTAGATTTGGTTAGGCAGAAAGGTTTTGACCATATATTAATGATATATATATAACTGGTTGAAAAACTTGCGTCCAACAATTCCTCAAAAAGCGCTCCGCATAAGTTGGTGGTTTGAAGTTGAATTCAAACAAAATATTGATTTTACTGTCTTAACAAAACAACAATTTATGATATGAAGATGAAAATTT